CAGGCAGTAGCTAAATTGATATATAGAACGATAAAGAACTCGAGCATGGGAATCTCAAATATCATAGGACCAGTGGAGGAGGTTGCCTTTGAAAATCAAACCATTAAGGGAATGTATTTTATGGTGGTTGGTGTACCTCAGGTATGTTCAAATTAAATTAAATTATTTTTTTTTATAAGCCAAAAATTTACTTCCTTGGGTACAAGGGGTACCAACCCTTATACAATCCACAACTTACATTGCTATTGCCTTTCCCATAAAAGAAAACAGTACAGAAATATTAGGAATAGCACACCCCTTCAAATATTAGTTCGTAGCTTGCCCTCTTAGTGCCATTTTGGGGTTTTCCTTCCATAGATCTTGCTTCAAATCAGGATGAAGTTTTGCCTTTACCCAATAGAAAAACCTGTATTTGATGAGCTCACCAATGTTCTTTTCCTTGTCTTGTTCTTTCCAAAATACTTTCTAATTCCTCCAATTCCATATGGTCGACATGGTTGCAAACCACACCACCTTCCAAGCTTTTTTGAGTGCCTTATCGTAAACGAGCCCCATATGTTGTTTGAAATGTCTTTGAACATCAACCTCAGCTACTGAGTAAAAACCCCCCACCCAGATAAACAATATGACCAAAGCTTTAAGAAATTGGGTATTTAAACAATAAATGAGCCAAGGATTCTTCTTCGTTTAAACACAAACTACATATGATTTCCTCTTTATTCATGATAACTCCTCTCCTAGCTAGATTGTCTTTTGTAGGTAATCTGTCATAGAAAGATCTCTTTTATTTCCTCTATTGAAAATTCTGCCATCAGCATAGCATTATCCTCATCACTCACCTTCTTGAATTCAATACCTTCCACTACCGGTCTACCCCAACTGTCTTCTTTAAATTTTTGCTTGAAAAACTCCTTTACAGCTCCCTTAACCTCTTGAACTCCTTCACCCCATCTACCATTCTGGATAATTCCGGCCAAGCTATTTTGATTTCTCCTTTTAACCACACAAGAATGGAAATACCTACTATTTGAATCACCCTCCTTTAGCCATTTTTGTCTTGCTTTTTGATGTAATATGTTATTTCTTATATCTGCCCATTCTTGTAATTGTTTAAATCTATCTACCCTTTTGTTCTTTTCATCTTCATTAATACTCCCCAACTCATTCTTCTCATAAATTACTCTAATTTCCTCCTTTGCTTTCTCAGTCCTATTCTCAATTACTCCAAAAATTAAATTAAATTATTATATGCATGCTATTGCAAGGGTTTTAATTGCATTTGCATGCAATGCATTTCCAACACTTTGTTCTTGCAATGGGTAAGTATAATTCTAATAGACACACCGAAGAATGTTTAAGTCTCATTAAGTTAAAGAGTTAGATGTAGTGGCAAAGAAGGGCTTAATTCAATTATTAGTCTATTAACTATTAGCTTAGTTTCATTTTAATCTAGAAAGTTTATTTTCTTTGTAAATGGTCTATAGACTTTGGAGAATATTTCAAAATAGTCTACAATACAAAATTTATGTTAAATTTAACTACAAAGAGTAGTCCTTTAAGTTTTGAAAAAGTGACACTATAATCCTAATAGAATATAATGACTTAAGAAATACTTTATAGAGATAGATTAGTTAGAATTTGTAATAAATTTGAGTAAATTAGCTCAATTCAAACAAAGAGACTTAGTAAGTTCAAAATGAGAAGTTTCCAGAGTAAGTGTATTTTATATGGTAGATTGTATGTAGTCCGTCTTGTAAAATTATTTAAATATCCCTAAAAATAATATAAAAATAAAATTAAAGGCATTTAAATAATTTTATAGGATGAACTACGTACAGCTGTCTTGTAAAACAGTTTCTAAAGAATACATTTAGCAAGATAAAAATAAAAACTATTTTTATGGTGAATATAAATTTAAGGATTAAAAGATCAAAAGATCAAAATAAATATAGTTAGAGGACCAAATATTTTCTTATAAAATAAGAAGATTTTCGTTAAAGATAATGAAATATATGAAATTGAAATAAATGTGTAAAATAATAGACATGATTTAAAAAATTCAAAGATGATAAATGAAACTGAAAAAAATATGAA